TGGGCGCCAGGTCCAGGTCGCCATTCATTTACTAATGCCCTTCTTCACGTCTTGGATGACTGGATGCACCGGCCTTCGTTTTCGGCGGCTATGCTTCATAGTGAGATTCTTTCTGTCCTTAAACACGAAAAGCTCAAGGAAAGTCAACATAGCGATCCACACAAACAAGAAAATAAGAAGACCCCCATTTACATACTCGCTTCCGAGGATCCCAAGTCCCTAAGCATTGAGATATGCCGACGCACAACGCCAGGCAATAGCTGGGCTGGTACCTTGTCTCCAGGAATCGCGGAAGACATTTACTCTCCAGAGAATTTGCATGGACTGACACCGGAGGGAAAGTTAGCCGTACCACACGTGCTCATATCCATTGCGTTAGAAGAAAACCAATTAGTAGATGTGGAGGCTTGGCACAAATGGATTAAGCAATTTCCAGCGTTGGCACAATTTGCTCTTGTGGAAGGAGTATTTGCGAGCCATTCCACCATCATCCTTCTTTCTCTGCCAGTGTTAATCTGGGATATGCTCCCAGAAAATTTAGCAGTATCTTTCGTGGCATTTGTAGAATCTAGAAACCTTCTATCCCAAATATCTGAAAAGTTGGGCGTGGAAGTTTCGAAACAGCAACAACCGAAGGAATTCCGAGGTAGACCTGATTCCGATACGCTTCAGATACCACCCCCACTCCCTCTCATTCAACAAATTGAACAAGCTCTCCACAAACAAAAACAACAAACAATGAAAGATTGGGAAACCCATTTTCAAAAGGAGAAGGTTCGTCTTGAAGCAAAAGTTCAAGATGCGCGTGATGACGCCCAGAAGAAAGAACTTGAGTTTTTGCAAGAGAGAAATACATATAGAGAGCTTATGGAAAGGGATATGAAGGAAGTCAAGAAGGAAAGTCAGGTTATAAAGGAGGAAGCGAGAAGAGCCTGGGAGGAGCTGGGTCGGTATGAGCATGAAGAAAGAGAAAGGACGAGATTGCTTAGAGATGGTCAACCAATCACTATAGGTGGAATTCAAGTTATTCCCATGGGCGAGACAGATGAGAAAGATGATAGAGGACGTATTGTTGGGGATGTAGCTGCTTGGGTGGGAGGCGTCAAATCCGAGACGTCCCAGACGCCTAGAGGACGAGAGGGTTCGAGAGCAAGAGGGCCTCCAGATCTTCTACATGAGCGACAATATCAAGAGCTCGAGGCTACTCACATCGCGAGACCGGAAAACTCAACGAAACGCCCTCACGAAACTCATCCTAACCATTCTGTTGACCCAAAATCACCCATCCACCACGAAAATGGCGATATACCTTTTGATGTTTCCATACCTCGTCCACCGCCAGGATTAGTCAAGCCAAAATCCAATGCGTCTCATTCAAGATTCAAAGATGAGAAGAGCATTGCTTCATTCAAATCTATCGCTAGCGGAGTACTATCGCCGCCAGAGAGCGTTGTTGCGAGTGATGAAATAGACGAGTCGACCCACGAGGAATACGAAAGTGCCTTGAGTGGCGGTGATGAAGATGGATTCGGTAGGGGAGATCGTGGGTCGGTAGATTTTCTTCAAGAATTTCTTGACGCAGGAGATGATGCTCCTTGGAATCTTCCGCGACAAAGTATGATTGATGGTGATGTCACATTACCTCAAGACAACAGAGAGAAGGAAAACAAGCTACCCGAGAAAGTTCTTGATCCGGATCAAATCACGCTTGAACCCAAATCGTACAGGTCTCGGAGTAAACACGAGCCCATAAAGTCGAAAGAGCCGGAGCCTACGGCTCTGCTTGATTGGGAGAGACGCGGAATGCAGCAAAAGTTGGCAGAGCATGCTCTGCCAAGACCTAACGCCGAAACAACATTAGAGCCTACTAGCCCTGAACCTACAAAGGTCAAAGATGTGGACCCCTTCACTTTACAGGTTTTGGAGAAGGGTATACCGCAAGAAGTCGTTGAGCGTGTTTTACCAGAACAAGTTACTCCACCTCGTAAAAGTCTTGATCTCGCTTCCCGGACAGATGATGTCGGACCATTGACATTACAAGCACTTAAAACATATGAAAAATTACAAGAGGAGATGGAAACGCATCAAGCTACAAGACGTCCAGAACGGCCAGAGCGACCAGTGGAACATATTCCTAACAGACTTTCTCACATAACTGAAAGAGATGGCGATTGGGAACCAAAGACTCCTGGGAAAGTAAGCTCGATAGGAAGTCCACAATCAAAGCGTAGAGACGAAAAGGTTGGGGATAAAAAGGCACTGGCTGCAGTAGAAGAGGCTATCAAGAAATTAATCATCCCCGAAATGGAAGAGTTGAAGAAGGAGCCAGAGATGACAAGAAAGAATTCAGACGGTTCTGGCCGAGTTCCTTGGGACAGTGATGAGAAGAGTGTAGGAAGGACTGAATCAGTTAAACATGGCAAAGGTAAAAGCAGCACAAAGAAAGCATTCGAAGCGGTTGAGGATGCTATCAAGAAGGAAGCCGAGGCATTGAAGAAGAAGGAGGAGGAAGAAGAGGAGATGGAAGCTTTGAGGAAATTGAGGAAAGGCCAAAAAGAAAAGAAACGCAAGGACGAAGAAAAGGACAAGCCTAAACGAGATGGAGACGATAAAGATGCCGCAAAAGTATCTTCCGGTCGTGATATGGAACCCAATGCTCCCATTCTCTTGGAGCAAAAGCATGATGGCAAAGAAGTATTGGTGGATGGCGAAAGAGCACTTTCGGCAGTCGATGATGCAATCAGAAAACTGATAGCTCCAGAGCTCGAGGGGCTTAAGCGAACGGAGTCTCATAAAAGTCACAAGAGCCATAAAAGCGCAAAAGGTCAAAGGCACGAGAAATCGAAGATGAATGAGAGCACAAATCAAGAGCCACTTCCAAGTCGTGATGAATCTCCAGTGAAGGAAAAATTGGAAAAAGGACATCACAGACAACACTCAGTTCCAAAAATCGATGATGCTCCGTCGAAAGAGGTAAAGGAAACGAATGGCAAGGCACAGAAGTCATCACATGTTGATCAGCAGAAGGAAGGAGAGATGAACTCAAATGCACCTCTTGCAAAGCAAAAGAGTGATAGAGGGCTTTGGTGGATGGAAAGAAAGCCTCCCAGCCATCAACGAGAGGAACTACCCCGGGAACAGTTACCATCGTCATCGTACTCGCAGAGAAACAAAGGCAAAGCTCAGGATGTTCCTCTAGACCCTGTTCCCACTCCACCTCTCGATTTATCACCAGAAGCAGAGGACAAACATGAGATGAGAATCTTACCTCATGAAATTGATAATCAGACTTGGAAAGGATTTAAGTTTGCCAACCGAGATGTAACACCCTCAATGTCTTCTCTACCAACTGCTATACCTCGATCGAGCCTCAATAATAGTACGCTCCCATCCAGCCCTAACAACCCATGGTCTCACTCTGAAGGTTCATTTGGCACTATCTTCCCACCTCGTACCTCACTAGACTACTCGCGCGATCCACGCATGTCATTAGACTTTTCACGCGGCGACTCACCTCACAGTCAGCCCTCAGGCTCTTCAACCAGTAATCACAACGTCTACAGCCAATTCCCACCACTGCCAGAAGATCGCGAACGTCCTTTATCTACGCCCACAATTCCAACTCCCCTTGCTAGAGCCCCTTCACCACCTTACCAGCATTCTCGCTTCAACGGAAACCACAACCCTAACAACCCTTACTCTCAATTCGCGCAATTTGAACAATCCCTTTCAACACCCACTCTCCAAAGAATCAATACTGGCTCGTCCTACCACTCTCTAGACGACACAGCGCGCAGCATCCACAACGTCCCGATGACCACATCCGCCGCTCGCAGCATCCACAATGTCCCCATCACGAGCCATCCTCTCAACAGCCATCCACTCACCAGCCACCCCATCCCCTCTCTCGCACCCGTCTTCGGCCCCTCAACCTACAACCAACATCAGCACCAACACGCGCCCATCTCCGCCGTCGACCCCACCTCCAACCCCAAACACTCCTTCACCTTCACCACCGCCCCCCACTCCTCCACCCACCAATCCCCTCCTTTCTACCCCGCCGAACTCCCCGCCTTTCCCCACTCCCTCCCCCTCTCCCGCTCAAACTCAAATTCCAACCCGCAACCCCCGCGACATCTACAAGAGTGGGAACGAGGTGAGAGAGGTAGACTCTCGACCCAAATCCCTCAAGCAGCGTATCTCACCCAACCGTTACCCTCGCCCTCGCCCTCGGAAACGGAAACCCTGTTGAAGAAATTGATACTACCCGAGTTGGAGACGATGGAGAAGGGCGAGAGGGCGAGGAGGGAGGAGGAGGAGAGGAGTAGGAGGGAGTGGGAGAGGGAATTTGGGATTCTGTGAGGGGAGAGAAAGGGAAGAGAGAAGAGAAGAGAAGGAAGAATGAAATTGAATGATAGAATTATTAATTAGGTAGAGGGAAAATTGTCATAGCTTGGGATAATACAGAAAGAAACGAAACGAAACGAAACGAAACAGCGCAGCCCGTGGACAGGAGAGAAAGAGAGGAGCAGGAAAGAGGGGGAGAGAAAGAAGGAAACATAATAATTGTAAATATTCATCACTACCTATCTAATAGTTTTTAATCGCGATTCATTTCCTTTGGTTTGCGGGTTATGTTTATATGTATGTATCTACCTAGTAGCTCTCTAGCTCTCTAGCTCTCTAGCTCTCTAGGTCCCGAGGTCACGAAGGATGGTTAGTCGAGTGACTGAGTGAGTGAGTCAGTGAGTGACTGAGTGAGTGTGTGTATTTGGAATTTGACTTTGAATTGGTTTTCGATTTTCGATTTTCGATTTTCGATTTTCGATTTTCGATTTTCGATTTTCGATTTTCGATTTTCGATTTTCGATTTTCGATTTTCGGTTTTCGGTTTTCGATTTTCGATTTTCGATTTTCGATTTTCGATTTTCGATTTTCGATTTTCGATTTTCGATTTTCGATTTTCGATTTTCGGTTTGCGGTTTGCGGGTTGGATTTGGATGTGGATTTGCGGGTTGGATTTGGATTTGGATTTGGATTTGGATTTGGATTTGGATTTGGATTTGGATTTGGATTTGGATTTGGATTTGGATTTGGATTTGGATTTGGATTTGGATTTGGATTTGGATTTGGATTTGGATTTGGATTTGGATTTGGATTTGGATTTGGATTTGGATTTGGATTTGGATTTGGATTTGGATTTGGATTTGGATTTGGATTTGGATTTGGATTTGGATTCGGATTTACATAATTTGGAGTTGGTTATACGAGTCGTTATACGAGTCTAATTAGTTTAATACATATCATTTATCATCATTCATCAGTATCAGTATCATCATCACCACCACCACCATGGCAACAATTACAGTTGGATCCTTAAAAAAAAGACAAAAGTTATTTGAAAATGTAATCTAGTATTCGTCACTCATATGATATCTGTCTGTATTTCGTGCTCCCTTATGCTAAACGATACCCAGCTCGTAGATTGATTGAGAAAAAAAGAAGAAGAAAAAAAAATGGGATATGCAAATCCACTACTTCTCCTTTCTCATGCTGCTCATCCCGCAAGTTTCATCAAATCATCATCTACTCCAATCCGCCTATTCCGTGTTCAACGAGTAAGCATTTTCTTCTTTCTTTCTTTCCTTCCTTCCTATCTATCTATACCTCCTCTCCTCTCCTCTCCTCTCCTCTACGAAATCAAAATCTTAATCTCCTCAGCCGTCAACCCAAAGATATGCAAAAGATCCAACATGCTTTCACCATTCAACCTAGCCTGCGCCTCCATCTGCACCACGGGTTTAGCATTCCACGCCACGCCCAAACCCGCAACTCCCATCATCAACAAATCATTTGCGCCATCGCCCATGGCGACCACCTGATCCAGCGCCACATTTTCCTTCTTCGCAATCTCCAGGAGCAAATCGCGTTTCTTTTCCGCATTGACAATGGATCCGAGAACTTCGCCCGTCAATTGATTGGTGCGAGGATCCGATTCGAGCGTATTTGCAAATGCGTAATCGATTCCCAAGTGATCCGCGAGCCATTGTGTCAATGGGATGAATCCTCCCGACAACACTGCAGTTTTCACACCCATTCTCTTCAATGCCCGAATGAGTTCCGCAGCACCTTTGGTGGGTGTGATAACGCTTCTCAATTTCGTAAAGATATCTGCATCGACTCCCTTCAACAACTTTGCGCGTTCACGAAGCGAGGCCGAGAAATCTAATTCGCCATTCATCGCGCGTGCGGTAATGGCAGATACGGCATCTTCGACGCCGATCGAAGCAGCGATTAAATCGATAACTTCTTGTTCGATAAGTGTAGAATCCATATCGAAAACCACAAGGCGTGGATAACGTCGGAGGACGGTATCATGTTGAAGAATGACGTCGACATTCCATTCGCGCTCAAAGCGATAGAGAAGTTCGTGTTTGCGCAAATCTTGGAGGTCAAGATATGTGGGATCGGGAATGGGAGAGAATGTGAGTTCGACGATGGATGGATGTTCGGGGTTGTCGAGACAGCGATGGGATGAGGAGAGAAAATCGGAACCGGATCGGCTCGGCAGGGATTGAATGAGGTGGAGGAAGGATGTAAGACAAAGCTGCGAGATGTAGCTTCCGTAGAGATGATCGAGCGGTTCTGGATCGGGTGGTGGAGGCTCGAGGGGGAAGTTGGAGAGTGTGCGGACAGGAGCAAGATTTGGTGGGATGGCGCGGGAAGTAGATGTCACCGAGGATCTGGAAGGGGAGGAAGCTGGTGAAGGAGAGCGATCGGGTGGATAGTCGGTGACTGAAACACGAGGAGATTTTGTTTTGTAAATAAGTGTTGCGATCATTCGGTCGGAAATTGTATTTGGCGCAGGTTGACAATTTGCGTGTGACAAGGTGTGATTGAGTCCGCTGTCAACAATCTTTGGAGGATGTTGTGGAGAAGGGACTCCATTGAATTGAGTGAAAGATTTGGTAGGAGATGAAAGCGCGCTACCTTGAATACCTTCAACTATGCTATCTATACCGTGATGGCCATCTTGTTGTGGAGGACGATATTGTTGATGTTCTTGAAGATAGGAACGACTGCGCATGTTATTGCCTAAGCTGGGACGTCCAGTTCTTGCTGATGCTTCATTTTCAGCCATCTTGCTTAAATTTGAGAGGCGTTGAATATATTTCCTCTACCTAGGTAAATATTTGACCCTTAGTTGAGAAGTTGTAGTTAAGAATCAATTTGGTTCGTTCTGCGAGGGATTGATTAGAGAAGTGGGGGTGAAAGCAGCCTTTCATTTGTGCGGAGGGGTATTTAGTGTTTTTGTATTTCGAGCACTACTCGAGTAACTTTTATCTGATCCGAGGTCATTCCGATGAAATGCAACCCAATGAGCCCAATGTACCTGACTATCCTTCTGACTATCTCGAGACTACCAAACATATATGTGATCATCACAAGTTTCCAAGTCTTTACTCTGCTCAGTGCTTTATCAGAATAAAGCGGTCACGGCGCTTCGATGGAAAGTGGATTGAAACAATGTTATGATGGTTCACTTATATTTATACACAGGTATTTATTCAATTTGCAAAAAGTTAAAATGAGGGAAACGAGTTCCCTAAGATTTTGAAGAGCAATCAAGCACTGCCGGTGTCACTCAAAAGCAAAACATATTTCATCATCTATTGAAGCGATACTTAACTGCATCGCATCAGCACCTATATCTCACATACCAAACATCAATAAAATGAGAACATTGATCTGATATGTTATTTTCTTTATCTTTATGTAGCTATTTCATACAACCTTGCCGAATAACTAACTTCTCTCATAGCTCATTTTTGTTTGGGTCATAAAAGCACCATACAGTAAATGAAGCTGATATGCATTAATTGACACGATAGTCATTTTGAATCTTGCCTTCCTTCATCCATACATAGAAGAAAAAGTTCGTAATAAAGAAAGAAAATTAAGATAGTGAAAGAAAACATGTGTTTCGATTGAAAATACAATCAAAATGTCAAAAAGAAAGCAAGTCTAGAAGCGAAAATTTGTGTTTGAGCTCAACGCTCCGTGTATTGTACTCGATTCTTACCAGAACCAACGGCGAACACTATCAGCATCTCTATTCTGATGCTTTCTACCCCATGATCCCCAGCCATAATAATTTGGTGGAGGTGGTGCGTAGTATGGTGGAGGTGGCGGAGCATAAGTTGGTGGTGGAGAATAGGTAGTGGTTGGAGTGGGAGCATTTGTAGAAGGTGCAGCACTTGAAGAATCTGTGGATGAGATTGAAGAACCAGAGTCAGAAGTTAAAGCCGATGAGATGATGGCAGAAGAATTGGTGCCAGCATATGTGCCGGTCGAAACCGATGTTGCAAATGTGGATGGTGTCGACGTTACCAACGTAATCGACGTGCCAGAGTCACCTTCAAAATAGTATTAGCAAAATTTCAAAACACTCGGATCATCATTTATTTCAGCTTACCTGAGGACGAAGACGTGGTAGGGGAAGCTCCAGTGCTAGTATTAAAGGGGCCTGTTGCTGAATACGAAGATAACGAGGTGCCTACGGATACTTGGCTGGAAGTGGATCCAATAGGATCGTAAGTACTGGCAGATGAGGTTGGATTTACCGAAGTTGCATTACCAATACTGGTAGGGCTACCAGAGACAGATGATTGGTATGAGCTTGAGACCGGTGAGGTTCCTGATGGTCCAGTTGGTCCAGCAGTTAAGGTTCCGTTTGAAGAGGTTGGATATGGAACTGACGATGATAGGCCAGAATCAGTACTCGAACTTCCTGTTCCTAAAGGTGCTGTGCCAGTGCTCAAGACAGATGTAGTTCCAGCTGGTCCACTAGTCAGAGTACTGTTTCCTGAAGCTGGATATGGAGCCGATGACGACTGGCCAGAATCACTGCTGGATATTGGCGAGGTTCCTGTCGGTGCGGTTGGTCCACTAGTCAAAGTTCCATTGGAAGGGGTTGGGTATGGAACTGATGAAGATAATCCCGAATCAGCGCTTGAGCTTCCTGTCTCTAGAGGTGCTGTACCAGTGCTTGATGGTGAACTCCCGGTCCCAAAAGACGTGGATGTAGCTGCACCTCCTGTACCTGTGCCTAGTGGCGGAAGGGTATAATTTCCATAGGGATAAGGTTGGTAAGGTTGGGAAGATGCCGGCGAAGTGCTGATGCTGCCTGAGACGCTTGATGATGGTGAGCTTCCAGTGCTAAGTGGTGCAGAAGTAACAGAAGTGAGACCACCAGATATTGAGGTACCTGGATTGGTGGGTCCTGCTGTTGCTGTACTGTTGGAGATTGGATATGGAGCAGAAGATGGAAGCGACGAAGTGATTCCACCTGATACATCAGAAGAAGATGGGTAGCTCCCTGAGCTTGAAACACCGGTACTTGATTGGACACCTCCTGATACAGAGCTTAGACTTCCTGTTCCTGTTCCAGATCCAGTTGGACCATTTGTATACGAAGTACTATTTCCATAAGGATAGTATGGAACAGATCCAGCAGAAGAGCTAATGATACCAGAGACAGAAGACCCAGAGGTACCGGTTCCTAATAAAGAGGAAGTGGGTGCAGACCCTGTACCAGCTGGACCAGTAGTTGTTGAAGCATTATTACCCGTTGGATAAGGAGCACTGGCAGATGAGCTAGAGCTGATACCACCCGACACACCTGATCCTGTAGGTCCAACAACTCCACTTGAGGTAGATGTCGAGTTGAGTGGGTATAGAGGAGTGGATGATGGAGTTCCTGTTGACAGAATACTGCTTCCAGATGGGCCGGAAGATAATGGCGCAGTACCGAGGTAAGTTGAGCTGGCTAAACTGGTCGAATTTGTGTACAAAGGTGCCGATGCACTCGAACTTGAAATGCCGCCAGAGATACTTCCACTAGAAAGACCAGTTCCAGTTTGATAAGGATTCGTAAATGGTGCAGTCCCTGAAGAAGCGATTGTAGTTGTTGGAGATGATCCTGATGTCGAATTTGCATAAGGGGCACTACCACCATTTGAGCTTCCAGGTGCCGATACTGAGATACCACCAGATGGAGTGAATGATGAAATCCCAGAAGTTAGAGGACCGGTTGCTGAAGCTGAAGTATTTGTGTATGGTCCTGCAGATGATGAACTAGCAGAAACATATGTTGATGAGCTAATTGGACCGACAGGAGTGGATGAATTTCCAGGCGTGGAAGGTGGGCTGGTAGAGGTCGCAGGCGCAGATGTTCCAGACTCTGTATTCGATACTCCTGAAGTGTAGCTGGGATTACTTGAGCTTT